CTTTTTTGGCCGAGCTTAATGGCTCGGGAATGCCCACATTAAAAAGGCCTTGTGCCACATGACACCCTCATGGGGGGGGTGACTGAATATCGTCATCAGCATATAGCAAATCCCTGATCAACGACAAGTGAGCCTTTGACTTTGTATCAAACTTTCTGATGTTAAACAGCCTTCATGTTGAACGATAGCAAATGTAAATACCAAGGTTGCAGTTCTTAAAGACCTCTTCAAAAACAATAGAGACGTACAGGGCCAAAAGTGCTGGAGCCGGAATGTTGCTCTGCTTAACTCCATTTTCAACTGTCACTGGCTCGGAGAGCTTTCCACCAACATTAACCCATGCCTTGATATCATCATGAAACAAGCAAAGAATGGAAACAAACTTTTTGGGACATCCCAGTTTCCCTAAAATATTCCACAAATCCTTTCTGTTTACATTGTCAAATGCCTTTGTCAAGTTAACAAATACTTGGTAGAGATCCATATTCTGCTTGACCCACTTTTCCTGCAGTTGTCTGGCTGTGAAGATCATATATACAGTGCCACTAAAGCCCAACTGTGACCCTGGAAGAGCTTCATTAGCAATGTGGTGCAACAACCGATCCAGCAGAACTCCACAAAGAACTTTGCTGGCAACAGACAACAGTGATATGCCATGATAATTTCTACAGTCATGACTGTCCCCCTTTGTCCTTGTACAAAACAACCATGACAGCATCTTTCCAGTCATCTGGAACACTGTTATTACTCCAGGCATCTAGCAACAATGAATGAAGCCAATGTAAAAGACTTTCTCCTCTGTGCTTAAAAATCTTGGCATGCAGCCCATCCACTCCAGGTGACTTATTAAGCTTTCTGACAGTATTTTGAATGTTGGAGGCTCTGAGAAATTCTTTAACAGGCTTTTCAGGTATAGATCTGATAAACTTTTTGTCAACATCTGAGTGCCTGTTGAGAAGCCTGTCAAAATGTTCATGCCATCTCAACAGAATGTCATCGGGATCTCAAAGAACTTTTTTGCCACCCTTAGTCTTTAGAGGAGCAACAGGTGAAGTAGAATGCCTGTAAACCTCACAAAGTAAATTGTACATGGCCTTAGTGTCCTTCGCATCCGACGCAAACTGTATTTCATCAGCATTGTCACTCCATCATTTGTTCTTTATCATGCACAGATTTTGCTGTATATCAGCTTTTATTGCTTTTAACTTGGCCTCACTTTCCTTCTTCTGATCACCAGGTAAATCACTATGAATAATGCAGAGTGGAGTTTATTTTTCTCTTGCAAGAGCTTTTCTATGTGCTTGTCATTCTGATAAAACCAATCTTGATGCTTCTTACCAGTAAATCCAACACCATCAGCACATGCCTTGTAAACTGCCTCCTTGAAAGAAGTCCAGTTATTTTCACTTACTAAAGCATCCATCTTATTGATTAGATTCTGTCTAATCTCAGAAATTTGCAGACGGCTAACATTCAGCCTTTTTGGAAGTGATATCTCTCCCCGCTTTTCTTTTTTACAGAAGCACACCTAACTCTTGCTCTTAGCAGATGATGGTCAGTTCAACATTCAGCCCCACACATCATACGCCCAATGCATAGATCCTGTACATCACAGCATCTCACAAGAACATAATCAATCATGTGCCACTGTTTTGATCCAGGATGCATCCATGTTATCTTATTTGGTCTTTTGTTGAAACATTGTGCTACCAATTAACAGGTCCAATTCCATGCACATTTGCAACAACAGACCATTGCTATTGCACTTTCCAACCCCATGTTTACCAAGAACTTTCCATGCCTCACAATCGCTACTCATCCATGCATTAATATCTCCAAGAATAAAAATTTTGTCTGCTACAGGTACTTTCCTAACAAGAGACTAGCTTCTTTTGCTTCATCTGTTCAAACCATGTTTGGTGCATAAACACCAATCAAGGTTGCATATTTTCCACATACAAGAGGAACTCTCATAGTGATCATTCTATCATTAACACCTGTTGGAAACTCTTCCAACTGACTAGTTATTGATGTCCTAATGGCAAAAGCAACACCCGATTCTCTCTTTCCCTTCTTCTTTCTGCTCCAGAAAAGTGTATAGCCACCAGATTTTTCCATGAAGTGACCCTCCTCAAAGAAATCTAGTTTCTGAAAGGGCCACAACAGCTATATTATATCTTTGGAGCTCCTTAGCAACCAGTGCAGATCTTCTCCTGGACCCGTATGTCTTACTGCAAATATCACATTTCGGTTGCTGGATGTCCATGGCTTTATAATCAATTGCGACCCGCTGTTGATGCACTCTTAAGTGACTCCTTAGACCAGCCATCAATGAACATATGTACACATCAGATTGAACTGCCTGCGGGTGTCTTCAAGAAGTTTAATGGGGTTGCCTTTACACACATCTCTTTTAAGCCTTGTGTGCCTCCTCTTCACCTCCTGAAAGTGACACCTTTATTTATATATATATATATATATACTTAAATTAACAATAACTGGTAAGCTAATTTTTTTTTTTGAACCAAGCTAATTCAAGACATCTGAAGTCACTAAAAAGAATATTAATTACAAATTAGTTGAATGAATAGTGCTTGAAAGAAGCAGCTTCAACTTGTTACTCTCATGTTAAAAATACTATTGTTATTTGATATTTGCACTTAACTCTTGGCTGCATTTTTGCATTAATAACTGCTATGGGTGCAGATGAAGGTATTTGCTATATTTTAAAAAAGAATGTAATACAAGACAGTTGGTGCACTGTTAGAATTGATAGTTGATTATTGTAAGAAACTCTTTGTGATATTGGACTTTTGTTTGTATCACTTGTAGGAAGAGTTTTGCATGTTCACAATGCTGTAATTATGCAATCACATTTGATGTTTATTGGAAGGATTTTATTATGGAAAGTGCCTTAAAGACTAGATTATTACTTTATTAATAGGGAAGAACTTGCACAATGGCCTGTCTGTGACTGACAGTTTTTTTTTTGTTTTTTTTTACAAATTGTTATTTCCCAAGATTCAAAATTCTTTAAAACACAAGACAAAACAGCATGCAGGTATATTGGAATGGTTTTCTTTAGTGTCTTACACTTGCATATCACGTTACCTGATATTGGAATTCTTATACATTTAAAACAAAACAAAAATCTAACATAGGCCATAACAAAATTATCATTTTCATTGATAAAAGATTTTGACATATATTGATGCATATTATTAGCATTTCTCAAATGTTTAACTATTTACTTTTGAGTTTGCTTTTAATCTCCAATTTTGTATTTTTTCTCTCTTGTTACATATTTGAATCTTTCAAGAAATAAGAAGTCATTTTGACTGATAAAAATTGAAGTTCATTCTTGATTCAGTTGTGTATAAGATTCATCTTTTACTTATTTTGAGATTTACTTTCTTGGTTAATTAAGACACATTTGTTTCTTGTCTCTTTTGTCTTTGTCTTTTTTTCATTGTTTGCATAAACTCTGTTTTTCTCTTTATCATCAGTCTTTTCTGTTTTCATTTTGTTCATGAATTTAGACTAAACTATATCTCACTTTAAAATCTAACAATTTTTGTTGCATCTTTTATATTAGACAAATCTCATCAGTGCCATTCATTAGCATTTGTCTCCGTCCTCTTTTTGTCAGTGGATTGTACATATTCGTTCACTTGACTATTGAAACTGTCTTAAATTAAACCCCTCTCCACTCAGCTGTTTAAAGTAGATCTTAGCCTGTGAATCGTGTTGGATGCCCTCTGGTTCAACAGCCATTTAGCTACTGGGACCTTCTGTCTGCATCTAGCAGTTGAACCACATTTGGAAACTCGTATCAACAGTTATTCTACTTTCTGTTCATCATAAATTTTGACGAAGGTAAGTTTTTTATATGGATGTGGAATTTCTACTCCCTCTGTATTTAATAACCTGTCAGTACCCTATGGAAGGAAAATAGCTGCACTGTCAGTATCCTATTAAGTGTGGAACTGCACTTACTGTCCTTACCTACACTTTTTGCACTTACCTTGTCATCTTTGTTTGAGATATGATGGGAGACTATAAATATAACAGTCTGTCCTCAGAGAGAACTGTCAAAATTGTCATTAACATCAGGATACTCGTATTAGGAGGATAGGGTTACACTAACTCTCTCTTGTATGATTTATTGCACTGTTTGCATTTGTGGTGGATGTAAAGTTTCTTTGCTTTAAAGTTATAAAGGTTAGGGAGGAATTTCTGATTGTGCGTATGTAAATAACATTTTTCTTGGCATTTTTCAAACTAGTTTAAACTATTAGATCAGAGATGTTACTCAAAGCATAGATTTAAGAGACCACTTTATGCTAACTGTTCTGATGTGATTCTTTAGAAGTAATATACCCCACCCTAATCGTGTACACTGTACACAACAGTAAAATAGCTTTGTTGCATGTGTGTACATTGTTTATATGAAATAACATTTTGTTTTATCTATTTGATGGTACATTTGTATCAAAAATATATGAGCACGTTCCACAAACTTATTTCTTTTCAAATAGTTTTGAAAATGAAGCATTCATAAAAATTGTCTCTGTTTAATGACTGCAATTTTTAATTTCATTTTTGCAGTGCTTTTAACATTTTGTTAATTCCACATTGGGAGTGCCTTACTTTTTAGCATAAAATTAAAATTTTTATGCACAGCTGTTACACAGGTCAGCAACTATGCATCTATAGTTTCTGTTATCTCTCTTGGGTTCTATTGCTTTATCAATTCTGATATCTTAATGTACATTCTGTTATTAAGGTTTATTTACAAAGAGGTTGTATTGATGGAAGGACAGGAAATGTTTGGATTTTTTTTTTTTTTTGTGAAAATAAAGTTGGAACTAGTGTATCGTATATTTCGAAAAAATATAAGTGGTATTTTTATTGATTCATGTAACATACATTTACTGACTAAAATCTAAGTATTTAATTGTTTTGTAAAATGTTATGACTTTCAAAATATTTTATGGCTTACAGCCATATGACATTGAAACATCAGTTCTTGTATGATCACCAAAGTTAAGCAACACCGAGCCCAGTCAGTACTTAGATGGGTGACTGCTTGGGAATACTGGGTACTGTAACCTTGGATGTTTGGTTGGTGTAATGGATAACAGCTTGGAATTGGAAATCAGAACTCCAATTCCATTCAAGTTTGTTATATTCACTTTCATGCAAATACCCCTGGGGAAGGGTTTTAATCCACCTTTTCTCCCTCCCAGTTGTGGGTTAATTTTAGGAATTGTGTCAGTAAATCATTATTATCTTCAAAAAATCCTTACAGTCTAAAATTATTTTCTAGCTTTAACTAGCTGCAAAAGGTTGATAAGCCATAAAAAAACAAATCAATCAATCAAAATACTTCATCTATATTTACCTATATAACCTACTGAAGAGAAAGGTTATATATTTGTAAGGAATGAATGAATTTTTTTTTTCTTAATATTCTAAAATAAAGTTTAAAGTAATAAATGTATATAGATATTATTTATTATCTGGCAATTATGGTGAAAAGTTTACTAGCCATACTCTGATTTTGGTGAACTGTCTGTTTTATTTCTATGCAGGAAATAAAAAGAATGACTAAAGTATTTTGGTTTAGAATATCTTAGCCTATCATGACATTTTTTTTTTAAAAAATTCATAATTTTATTATACAAGTTTTAGAAATAATTTCAGTCATACCTTGAATCTAGTGGATGTTTGCATGGTGTAGTGATTATCAGCACATGGAAATTGGGGTTAGTGTGTTGAGTTGAAATTCCAGTTGAATCTATTGCATTCACTATCACAGAAATACCCTTGGAAAGGTATGAATCCATCTCTTCCTCCAGCTAGGGTAGACTTTTTGTTGGCAACAAGTCTTGGAGAAGGACAACTCTGAATCCAAAACTGTTTTGGCATGGGGCTAGCAACATCACCCTATAATAATCTGTTTGCTATAGAAACCACAGCAGCAGCACTTAGCATAGTGCCCAGTGCTCCACAGGCAAGTCTATAAGGCTAGCATAACAACTTGAGTGTAGTCTGAAACTTTTCATAGCAGAAAATAATTATTTATTTCAGCTTTTGAATTTTACTTTCAAAGTAAATCTGTGGAGTAATCTTGGCAAATACAAAATTTTATTACAAATGCATTTTTCATTTGTTAAGCTCTTAGCATTTTCATTGGAAATATTTTGATTTTCTTCAAGTGTCATACATTTGGGTAGTGTTAATCTACAGAATAGAAATATGTATTGGGAGAAAATGAAAAAAAAGTAAAGAGTCTATATATAAAAATTGTGCAATTTTAAATTTTTAAACAGCATTAGTAAAGAATATTTAACATTCTTTTTATTATTAATGAAAAATTCAAAATTAGTTAAAATTGTTGATCAGGGCATATGTCACAAAGGATATAGGATTTTTTTTTTTTTTTTTCATGTATAGAATACCATCAATTTGTATGAGAGGTAGGTGTGCAACTGAAAATTTCTCAGCCTGACCCACTTCCCAGAAACCAGTATTTTAATGACCAAACATCACAATACTGATTAACTTTTTTTTTTCTTTGTGAGTTGGGCCAAGAACTTTTCAGGGTACCCTTGTAAAAATGTTTCCTAATGAAGAAATTTTAAAAAGTTACAAATAAATTTCTAATGTCCTGAAGGGACACAGCACATAGCTGTAAATTATACAAGGTTAATTTGTCATTGGAAGAAAGTTGAAAGAATTTTATTCAAAATACAAACCACATAATTATCAGCTAAAACAATAATGAGATATTGTCAAGAATCAGTGTTGTTTTTTTTTTTTTTCAGTATCTTTATGCTTATTATTTTCAAATTAATATTTAAACATGTACACTCATCAGTTTTGAGGAAGTTAACTTGAAATATTAATTTGATTGATTTTCTATTTAAGTTGCATGAAGGAAGAATGAGAAGAAAATGAGCTTTAGAAGATTATCTTCATGAATATTTTTGTGATTTGCAGACATTAATCCTTGAATAGTAAAACTGAAATTATCTTTTAATATGCCACATTTTAGAAGGTGTCAAAAAAATACATACAGTTTTAATTTTTATTTTGATGTCTATCCTGATGATAATGATGTGGGGAGGCTTACCAACTGAAATATTTAGAACATTTTTTCCTTGCTGATCCACCCTGTTCATTTTAGCATATAAGGGTTGATCGATAAGTTTACATTAGCAGAATTTTTGCAGTATAATGTCCGACGTATGTAATTAAAGATAGCTGTGTATTTTTACTATGACATTTAACACAAGAATCTGCAATGCAAATTGGAAAATATGTGACATTTCTTAACATTGTTCTTTCTTTTCTTTTTTTTCAGAGTAATAAGTCTTATCTTGAAAGAAGTATCAAGGAAAGTGAAGATAACCTTAGGGAGATGATCCTTTCAAAACAATCTAACAAGTGATGCTGTCTTTACTATTTCATCTTCATTTCAACTTCCTTTTTTTCCTATTCTTTTAGGCAAATCATTGGTTTTATTTTTTTCTTATTTTTCAGCTAATTTGTCAAATAAATTGTTTCTAAAGTGAACTGACTTGTTTTGTTTTGTTTTTCATCACACATGAACATCATCAAAATTTAAAATATAGTAAATTAAACTCCCGTTCATTTTGATTTCTTCTTTCACTGCATTTAGTTATTAATCATTAGTGTCACCAAATAGATTATCACTAAAACCTACTTATATACCTCACTTGAAAATGTCTCATTCCTTTATTTGGTAAAGTCTGAAAATTTACTACAAGGTTGGTAACCAATCTTGTTAAGTAGATTTCTATCGTTCTTTTCAGAAACAAGTAGGTGGCAAACTCATGATTACTTTTGCACATTTTCTGTTTTTATATTTAACAAAGGCAAGATTAGCAATAACAGTGTGAATTTAAAATTTACTTTTAAGCTTAGTCTGGAATTGACCATATATGGGTTGGATGATTTTTTTTTTCTTTTAATGACACATGTGTAAAAATTCTGATATAAATAAAATATATCTCTAAAGACTATATAAAAAAATTCTGTGACTTCTATTAATTCATTCATCCATCACACCTTCTAAAATAGCCATACATTGACTGATCAAAACCAAATTTGAGGAAAAGGGCAAACAGGTAAGGAGGTACAAAGAACAGTTGCTTTTACTAGCTTAGTACAATAAATTTTCATTAATTTTGGGGGGGAAAATTAAAAGTTTTATTAAACATACAAAATACTTCCATTATTTTAAAAATTTAATGATTAAAATAACATACTTATTTAATAAAAATGCAATATTGTTTTGTGCATACCTTTTCTTTAAGTTTTTATATATACAAGAATCCAGTTTGCCCTGCATTTGTGAGAACTATAAACAAATTGCAAAACCAAACAGTTCAAAAAGTGGGAATTTGATTACAGAAATACTAGTTGTATGTTGCATGCTCAAGAGTTAAGAATCTCTAGGAATTTATTCTTTGCTATTAAAAAGTAAAAAAAGAAATTTTCTTAAAAAAATATTGTTTACCATGAAATCCTATAAAATTAAAATAAAGAAATTATTAAACTTGGGAAAGGTATGAATCCACCTCTTTCCCCCTAGCTATGGGTTAATTAGTAGGTCGTGTATCAATAAATCAATATTATTTCCAAAAACTTCTTACAATCAAAAATACTTTCTGGCTTTAAATAATCTGCAAATGGTTGATAAGCCAATGAAAAAAAGCAAATCAATCTTTAATATAAATCATTTAAGAAATCCTAAATTTTTTTTCCAAGTCAAAATGTTAAAAAAAATATGACATTCCCAATTCAAAACTGTTTCATTACATTAAGATACATTATTTCTTACAAAAGCATAGATACATGTACAAAAGGCAAATGAGTTTTCAACAAATTGAGGTTAATAAATTTTTCAAATATTTTAAGAAGTAGAGCAATTTGTATTGCTTCATTAATTAGACAGTTTCACTTAAAGAATCAGTTTGCTGTCATAAGCATTTAAGCAGACAGGTACTTCGCCTAGTACTTATATGGAAAATTGTGGAAGGTTCTCTTATGACAATGTCTGTTCCCAACATATATTGCTATATTTGGTTTCAGTGCATATACACAGTGTTGAAAAATGCAAGATAAATTTGTATATAACACAATAAAATAATATGGAAGGATAAGTTGTAGCCATCTAAAATTGCCAGCAATATCATGCAAATGTCCCATTACTGCTCTGGTTATATTATGATGATCACTATCTGAGACTAGACAAAATTTATTGATTCTAACTAGAGTTGATTTTTCAAACTTGTTTTTCATATATTTTATATATACACATACATACACACACACAATCACTTAAAAAAATGTTGCTTTCATTCTGATTGGCTCATGGTTTTTTATCCTGGTTGTAAAAGCTTTCTGATTAGTTTGTTGAAATATGGCTATGAGGCCTTGTGATTGTGAATATACATATATTTTTAGAGATAGTGAAATTTTGGTCTCCTTTATTATTTTATTTTATATTTTGGTTATGAAAACTTTCTGACTGGTTGGTTGTAATATAGCTTTGTGGTTTGATGATTCTGAATATACACCTATTTTTAGAGATGGTGAAACTGGGGAGATTTCACAAAAAATTCCAAGTACACACATTTTTTGGAAATCTGGATTTTTTATTGAATCAATAAACACAAGCATTACAATGAACTATGTTTTTGTGAGGACTTAAATATTTATGGTCTCAATGTAGCTGTTTCTACAACAAATGATTTCTTAAATCTTGATTTTCATGAAACTGGAAAAATTCATAGAAGAAAGATCCTAATATTGGTTTCTGCTCAGGAATTTTTCAGCTTGATATCTACTTTATAAGACTTAAAAAAAAAAAAAGATTTGGGTTAGCTAACAAGACAGATGTAGTAAGAGTTCATTTTAGCATTGAAAAAAAAACATTGAGCAAAAAATTTTCTAAACAGAAACCAATGTCTACTTTGAATTGTTAAATGAAGAGATTTAGTTTAGCTAACATGATGGACACAAAGAAGTGTCCAATTTAATATTATATTCATATAAGAAAAAATTAATGGAAAAAATA